AAAAAAAAAAAAAAAAAAAAGAGCGAACACACATACACATGTATATGCATAGGCATGTGTGCATGTGTCTCACATATTAAATAAGAGTCCTCCGGTGCCTGTCTCTTATCTCCCTTGCATGTTGTCAGGTGGTGAGGGGAGCTGGCTAGTTGTGTTGCATGGCGCTTCTGCCAAGTCCAGCTAGCTTTTCCCCCCTTGTCTTTCTAATTACCCTAACTGTGGAGTCCCCCTGTGAGGACAGAAACTGCTTTAAGTAAGTTTCCTCGTTGAGATCAGCTCAGGGAGGTCTTTATCCTATCTGCCCCTGCCTATAGGGCAGCCTGCCCCTGTAACAGGCGGGCAGGGCCAGAGGGCCCCTTGCTGACTTTGACCTTTGGGGAGCCCTCTCGCCTCTCTCAGCCTTGTTTTCCCCTTCCACAGATTCAGCACCAGGAAAGCTCAGATGGAAGGTGTGGGTGGACCCGTCTGGGGGCGCTGCGGTCGCAGTACCATCTCTCCACGCCTGGTACGCATTGGCCTGACAGTGCAGGACTCCTTCCCTGCCTGCCCCCAACTGCAGATAAGCTCAGATCTTGACACATGTGAAACTGTAGCTTGTGGGCGATGATTTGTGTTCAGCCCCTGGGGCCCTTGACCAGGATGGAACATCCCTTTCGGCAGAAACATGATTATGAGGTGTGCAGTAACTAAAGGTACCCGCTTTCTTTAGAGGCTCCGCGCATGGCCAAGCCCCGCCACGGACACACAGGCTCTGGCTGCAGCTGCTCAGATCCCTCCCCAGACTGCCCCAAAACCCAGTGCCTCTAGAGCTCCCACAAAATCCTGTTCGCCCCATAAGGTTCTTTCTTTCTTTTTTGGGGGGCGGGTCTTTTTGAGACAAGGTCTCACTATGCAGTTCAGGCTGGCCTTGAGCTCACTTTGTAGCCCATGCTGGTCTCAAACTTGCAACAATCCTCCTGCCTCAGCCTCCTGAGTGCTGGGATTACAACTGTGTGCCACCACGCCCGGCTCATAAGGTTCTCTTTCAAACCCCATGTTTGATGGTTTGTTTTTGATAATACTGGTGGTTGAACCCAGTTTTAAAAAAAGAACAGTCAACTCCTTCCCCACAGTAATCCTCCAACTAAGCTGGCGCACATCTGTAATCCCAGCACTCAGGAGGCTGAGACAGGAGGATTGCTGCAAGTTCAAGGCCAGCCTGGGCTACATAAGTGAGTTTAAGACCAGCTTGAACTGCATAGCAAGATCCTGTCTCAAAAAAAAAAAAAAAAAGGAAGTAATCTTCCAATTATGCACAATACCCCTAACACAGAACTGGCCCCAAATTTAATTTTCTGGTTGCTGAAGAGCAGACTCAATGGACCAATCAGGGCCAGGCTCCATGAGCTTCGGAGGCTCCCAGGCTGAGATGCGTGGGTGCCCTGTGCGGGGCTGTGGGACCTCTGCCTGCAGGGGTCGCTGTGTGCCCACATGTGGCTTGCCTGTGTGGGAAGTGTCTGTATTTGGATCTGTGTGTACTGTCCTATGTCTGTGTGACAGGTAGAGTTTGCATGTGTGGCATCTTGTGCATCTGTGAGTGTTTTGTCTGGGAGACGTGCATGCAGGGTTGTGAGTGTGTGCGTGTGATGTGTGTGTGCATGCGATGGGTATGTCTATTTGTGGTGTGGTGGGTGTGTGATGCATGTGTGCAAGTGCTTCCGGTGTGTGATGTCTGTGTGTGTGTGGTCAAGTAGCATGGTGTGTGTATGAGTGTGCATGGATGTGTATAGCGTGTGACACATGTGTCTGCCAGTGTGCCCATGTGCCTGCACACCTCACTGTTCACACCTTGGCACAGGGATTCATCGTAGGCTCCACTTCGGGGCTTCCTGGCACGCCTGTGCCTTGTCTCCCCACACGGTCTCCTCTGAGTATGCAGAACGATGGTCTGAGGAGGACGGCACAGCTGCATGAACGCCCCAGGTC